ATAATTAATATTTGGAAGGAAATACAGAAAGTTCCTGCTTCTGTTTTGTTGCTTCTTTTGTATTATTACTGTAACCATGCATATATAAGCAAACTATGTTTTGTAATCAAAATGCTCCAGTAACAAATTCATATGAGGCATTGTATTCATAAAGAAAATTTGCATTCAAACTTGTTTTAACTGAACTAATTTTTTAAAAAAATGTCTTTAAAAAGATTGCAAAGGGAGCAGTGTTATAACCATGCAAGGAATTTGGTATTTTTCTGTATTCATTTCAGGCTGTGTCTGTGTTCTCAGAGAAATGCAGAATTGAGACTATTAACTCAGCCAAAAATTGTAATGCAAAATGGATTTTTGATTATTTATAACTATTATTTTACCCATATAAATCATATCTGAGATGATAAAGATTAAATATTTCCATGGTGATTTTATTATGTGATATGTCAGAATGTATAAATGTAGTGGGATGAACGTGGGCCTTGGGATACAACAGATGTGAGATTGAGTACAAGAGTCACTGCTTACTAGCTCTTTGCATTTCAATTACAGTTGACCCTTGAACAATGCAAGGTTAGGGGCACCGAGCCACCAAGTAGTCAATAATCTGAATGTAACTTTACAGTTGGCCCTCCGTATCCATAGTTCCATATCCGGGGAATCACCCAACCTTGAATTGTGTAGTACTATAGTACAGTATTCATTGACAAAAATCTGTGTATAAGGGGGCCCTTGTAGTTCAAACCTGTATTGTTCAACTGTCAACTATACTTTATCCAAAAGTGAGATTCTTGTGATGCTTAGAGATAATACTAGGAAAATGCATAGCATTTGGCATAGACACTTTAAATCTGTTAGGAGAGAGAAATTATATGGTGGGCATGAGAACAAATTCCAGGATGTATTCAATTCACATGTTCCCTTTTTCCCCAGACCCCTTAGTCCTTGTAAGGATGTGCTCCCTCTTCCAGGACAATCCTTTACCAAACCTGTCCCAGGATAAGAAATGTCTCTCCCTTGGGTGGGCTCCTACCTTCTTCCTCTGGCCTGGATCTCCTAACAGTTTGTTTCTTCTTTTTCTCCTGCCAGAACTCCAACTCTTCTGCACTCAGGCTAGCTTAATGAAAAGGAATTTTTCCCTTAAAGGATTTTTTAGATAACCATATAATGCAGTAGAACAAGCATTAGATACTAAGTTAAGAGACCAGGGACAATGAGCCATGTGACATTGGGCAAATCAGTTTACTTCTCTGGACCTTGGCTCCTCTTTTGTATAATGAACAGCTAAGTGGGATAGAGTCTAAGAATCAGCATGTTAGTATACAATGCTATTGCAGGCATGTTAGTATTACAGTATTATAAGCAGGGACTGCAGCTATCGATCTGTAATCAACAATTCTACTCATCCATTACAGAATGATGTGGTGCAAAGAACATGGCTTTATGAGTAAGATGGAACTGTGTTCAACCATCTTTGCTACTAGAACCTAACAAACAAATACAAACTCTGTGTCCAAAAACGAGACTAACTTGCACATTAAATGTCCTGCTCTGTAAAAATGTGGTAGATACTACTTCTCTCACTGGGTTGTCATGAAGATTGAATCAAATAATGTTTGTTTAGTGCTGGGACATAGCATCTGGTCTTGCTGAGGAAGCCTTTAATCTAGTGTAAGAGCTCAGTCTCCATCTCACCCATCACTATCAGCAGCATATGACACAGCTGATCACACTGTCCTTCTTGAAACACTTTATTTATACCCTCAAATCTCTCTTTCTTTTTTTCCTATTTCCCAGATCTCTCCGTCTTTGTCTCCTTTTCTGGATCCTTCTCACCTTCCTGACCCCTAAATGAGGGCACATATCAGGCTTCTCTATCAACCTTCACTACTAGATCATCTCATTCAGTGTCATCGCCTTAATTGGCATCTTTAAGCTGATTACTCCAGAACTTACACCTCCAGCAGAGATCTCTTCTATGAAGTCCAGATTCATAAGAATAGCTTCCCACTTGACATTTCCATTTGGTAGACTAATAGGCATATTAAACTTGACATGTCCCAAACTGAACTTTTCATCTCCACACCATCCCTTTCTTGGTAAATGGAAAATCTACTTTCCAGTTGCTCAGGCCAAAAAACTTTGGAATTATCCTAATTTTTCTCACATCTGTCTACGAATAAATCCTCTTGGCTTGGCTCTCATATATATCTAGCACCTGACTATGTCTTCCCTCCCCCTCTACAGCCATTCTAGCCCAAGTAACTGTTGTCTTCCATCTGGGCCAATGTAATAGCCTCCTAACAAATCTCCCTGCTTCCATTTTGCTCCCTCTCCTCACAGCAGCCAGGAAGATACTTTTGCAGCATAAGCATAGTACCATGTCACTTATCACAGATGGGGTATCTCTGGAAGTGACTGATATAGTGTTTAGCATGCAAGACTTTTTTAAGGAGCGCTTTTGGGATCAACATTTGTAGAAGGGAATGGAAAGGTCAGGAGTGGACAGAAGTCAAGAGGTTATGCAGGCCCAGTGACAGTCTTGGCCAACCACATGTTGGCCTTTGAAGCTGGAAGGGCCTTTTAAAGTTGTCTCAAGTTGGGCTAAGATAGCCAGGCCTTTATATTCCCTCATCAATCAGTCTTGGTTATGGTCTGTTTCATGAAGGGTGCTACCTCAGGCAAGGCAGCCCTCTGTAGCTGAGGCAGTCCCTGAAGGGATCATTACCAGTCAGCCAACAGCACTCCCAGACAGCAGGTATTCATTTAACAGGGAAATGGGTAGCACAACACAGGATCCACCACTCCTCTGTTCTCTCTGGTGGCTTCCCATCTCACTCAGAATAAAAACCAAATTCTTTACCATTTCTCTCTGACCTCCTCCTCTCCCACTACTCTTCCCTTCAATCACCCTCTGAAGCCACATTTGCCACCTGGCAGTTTCTTAAACCTCCCCAACTCTTACCTTTCACCAGTATACTCCTGTCTTAGCACTTGTGGTTCCTTCCACTTGCAAAGCTCTTGTCCCAGGTATCTACAGAGCTGGCTCCTGCATTTCATTCAAGTCTCTGTTCAAATTTCACTTTATCAGAGGAGCCTTCTCTCACCAACCTATAGCAAATAGCACACTGCCCTTTCACTCTGTTACCTTATTTCACTTAGTTTTTCTTTTTAGCTCTTATTTCATGACCTAACATAGTTATATTTGATTGATTTATTGACTGTCCATGTCCTCCCTCCACTTGGATATAAGTTCCAGAAAAGAAGGGACTTTGTTTTTATTCATTGTTGTATCACCAGGGATTGTAACAGTGCCTGGCACATGGTAGATGCTCAATAAATATTTGTTAACCACAACTATTTTGGGGGCAGGGAGTATTCCATAGTAAACAAGAGCTAAGGCATTGGATGGAAACAAACCTAAATTTTATCTGTGGGTCTAAACTTATGATCTGTGAAATGTAGGATATGTTATTTGCACTCTCTGCATTTGAGTTCCCTCAGCTGTAAAATGTAGATGATTTAATACTATATACATAATAAATTTGTGGTGAGAGCAAATGGGATGATGTGTGTAAAACATCATTAAGCACCTGACATATAACACTAAGAATCTAAAAACTGCTTATAAGCACAGGTCCTAGCATGTAGTGTGTGCTCAATAGCTGGTAAATTTTTTGATCATTTTATGATCAAAATTTATAATTTTGTGATAAATACACGGAATGATATATGAGAGTTAGAGTTGTTTTTGATGAACACGTGATGGTTTAAATGATGCAAAAAAGTTCTTTAGTGCTTCATTTTAGAATGCCCTGTAGCTAGTCTGGGCTGATTTATCACTCTTTTCAATATGGAGAAATTTGGTTTATTTTAAGCCAGTTTCAACAACAATGAAAATTTTAATAAATTGTTGTGAATAAGTGTTCTCTAAGTGCAGCTTCACTTTATACATGTGTTTATACATTGTGTCTAAGCCCATATAAAATTGCATTTTATTTTAAGTGGGGTAAGAAAATTTTCTATTTAAAGGAATCTTGTGACTTCTTTGGTAAAACACATCATCCTTTTCTAATCAAAACCGTTCTATAATTGATCAATTTTGTAAACTTGGCTGTTTGCATCCCCAATTTCTGAAATTATGTATGAAAAGACTTGCGGCCAATGCCTCTCATAAACAGAGTGTATATTTATTGCATGAAGACTTCTGCAGTTTTACTGATAATGAAAATGTAGGCGAGAAATCAGGGGAAAAAATGTACTAAGCTCTTATTAACCTGCAATATAGGAACATAATTAGAAAATTACTTTTGCAAGTTTCATTTAAATTGTTACAAGTCTGCACAACAGTTTTTTGTTTATGTTTTTAATCTAGTAAATGTTCCTCTTGGCAGTAACATCAGAAAGAAAGAGTG